CCAACCCATCTTACCATCATCTGGCTTCTTGACAAATGTTACTCCTTGCTCCTCAAACATCTTACAAGCTGCATAAACATCAGGAACTGCGATACCAATGTGTCCTATAAGCAGTTCAAAGAGAGACCATTCATTTCTAATGCACAGTGAAGTTAGAAATATATGCAAATCTTAGCTAACAACTAATAGAAACATAGCTGACTTAATAAAAGGGAACTGGCAGGAGTGCGGATGTTTAATACTACTTATTGTAAAAAACAGGAAACAAATTTACCAAATCCACGTGGGTCAGAGTTCCCATTGTGATAAGTCTGGCTGTCATCAGACTCTGAACCCCAGTTACTGAGAGACAAGAGAGAAGCGGACAAGTCCATGAGGGGAGACAGAGAATACACTGCAAGTAAACAAAGTACCAAGTATCTCTGCTCTAGTTTCTAGTACAAATATATTGGTACATATGAAATAAGACTAAATTAACTAATAATTTATGTTTCAACAAGATAACATGGGAAAAATGTTTTGCTATAAGTGAATTTATCTGCCAATGGAACTAGGACTTTTAAGGAATGTTAAGGAATTATAACTTAAAACAAGCTCCTATATTTTGCTGAAAATGTTCTTAAATTAGTTATGTCTTATTTCAAAAGGACTAAGATATGTTTGCACTAGAAAGTAGATCAAAAATACTTTGTAAAATTTTGTAAGAATTGGGAAATGGAAAATATAATACCTGGTTCTCAGCAGGTTTTTTTTGTTTGTTTTTTTGTTTTAATTTGCATAAACAAATTTACAAACATGTGGTTGTGAAACTGATGTAATGTGCCTCCACAAAGGTCTGGAAAATTAGTAATTTCCCTTTTGTGGTGCCATGAGAGACAGCTGACTGACAGACCTAGGTCATTATAGTTAACTAAAACTAACGAAAACTGAAATTGAGAAACATTTTTGTTAACTGAAATGAATAAAAACTGTACATGAGGGGTAAAAAGTATAATTAACTGGAACTATCTTGCACATTTATAAAAACTAACTAAAACATACTTAGATTATAGATATAATATTCTTAGTTTCTGTGTTTAGCTGTCGGCAATTTATGGCTCTCCATTCACATTAATCCACAAAATGTCGACAGCAAAAGTTGGGAGAAAACACCAGAGTCAGTTGGTTGGTCAAAAATGATGTTTTCTTTTGAGTTTTCATTACCCAATCAAATATACAAAATCACAATATGACACTTAAACCTTTTTGAAATCTGCACCTAAAAACTGGCTGAAGTATGAAAAAAAAAAAACAACTAAAACTACTGAATTAGACAAACAAAAAGTCACATTGAAATTAAACTAAACCATAATGAAAAACCCAAAACCATTATAACCCTGTACAGTTAAGAATAGTTGCCTCATTGGTGCCAACTTAATAATCATTGGCCAGATAAATACAGTACAATAAGAGTCAGATATTAGATGGCAGTGAAGCAGGCGCTGCTGACAGGCATCACCTGCACAGCGTCCTTCCTTACTGTGTCAGCTCGATGGTGGCTCTCCTTGAAAAAGTCCAGGCTGTCCTTTCCTTCACGTTGGCAGGAATCTCCTTCTTATCCTCATAGCCCAGGAAGAAGAGCGTGAAACGCATGGAGGGAAAGTCAAACTTCTGCAGTAGCCTGCAACATATGGAACACCAGAGGGAAACTTTTTACAAAGCGTCATGTCTGGTAGTCACAGTTCATAAAGCAAAAACTGTACAAAAAAAACACAACTAAGCTTTTAGAAACGTTCAGTGAGGACCATCGGTTTTCTCTTTGCAAGATTGTTTTTTTATTCTTTTCTGTAACATTCAAATTCAGCAGCTTACAAACTCAAACTCACGTCATGCCTAGGATCCTGGTGTAGAAATCCAGGGATTTAGCTGGATCCTTCACCCTCAACATGGTTTGCTGCATCATAAAGTCCTGAACACAGACACAAAACACAACTTTACTAATAGAAATACATCACTACAAGAACAACTACGAACAGCAATAAAGTGCACTTTTTGCTTTTAAAGTGACAAAATGCGAGACAAGAATAAAAATTAGAGATGTTGATCTTTCAGCCTCTACTGACACGATTCAGAAACAATTTTTAATTCAAACGGTCTGGAGATTCTGTTTAAGTTATGTGACTGACAAAAGGAATAGACAGGGTAAACAAATAAAACATTTATTTTAAAAATTCTCTAAGGCTCCATACTGTATCAAAGTCCATCAGTTTATATTTATAAAGTTTGTGCATAAAATTCTGCGACTTAAATTACCTGGATTAGGTTAGTTTAGCTGCCTGGCTTTGTCTTAAATAAAAAAATAAAATAAAATTTTTGAGCATTTTGAGTCAATTCAGAATTCCCAGGATTGGGAATTGTGATTCTTTATAGAATAGATTTTTTTCTGCACCTCTAATAAAAATATAAAAAAACATTTTTTTACAATATTAAATGGTTTTTAAGATCTGGAGATCTGAAGTTTATATGTTGCTTTTTCAGGCACTGACTGCCTTCAGGGTAACAATTTGTGTCCAAGTTCCGGTTTGGATGGTGGCAAGTGGTCAAGTGAATAAAGCCACTCTATCAACAGATAACACCACACTTTATAATTGAGTTGCAGTCACTTCCATGCAGCTGCTCAGTTGGAAAGCATAGCAAGTTCCTCATGAATGCTGCTTGTGTTGCAGATCAAAGTCCTCTGGATAAATGAGCACGCTTCAGCAATGAGCCAAACTTAAACCCAGAAATGGTCATAAATGTACCAAAGCTAATAAAATTAAATATAATCTCATTATTCATGTACAAGTCTGCCTGTGTTGAACACAAGAAGCTGCCTTCTTCTTTTCGCCCTGAAAACCTCTGCTGTCCACGTCTGTGTTTTACAGATGGGTGTTATCTCTGCAGCTAGCCACGTTCTCCTCTTTCCTGCTCCCTTCCTTCTCTACTATCAACAGTTCATGGTGGGAAAAAAAAAAACTCAGTGAAGCTATGGATAACTGTACAATGCTTTGGCAACCATTTAGCTTCTCTACATTTTCTCATGTTGCAAGTAAAAATCTTTACTTACTTTATTTATTTTCAGACCAAACACAAAGGTTAAAAGGATTTTCCTTTTTCCCCTTTGCAAATGTGACTTTAATTTGTTTTCAGCCTCTCGGTTATAAAGCAATGTTCCAATGTTTGAAAATTTCACTTGTTTGAATGGTCCAGTCAAAGTACAGATCTAAATTCAATCAGGGATGTTTGGCAAGTCTTTAGAAATGTCATTCACAGATTAGATCAATGAAATAATAAAAGCTACATGAACAAAGTTGGTGGAGATACATCCCAAAATACTTACCCATCACACTTTTCAGATTTTTCTTTGCAAAACTATTTCAAAATGTTGCCCTCTCCTTCATAATTATGTACCACTGTGTGTGAACCAATCGTATAAAATGCCAACAAAATAAACTCACGTTTGTGGCTGCAATGCGACAAAATGAAATACTTTTAAAAGGCAAAATAACTATTTACAACTGCATTTTATTCAGACAGGTCAAAGAGAGCTACGCTAAAGGGTAAGTTTCATTTTGAAAATAAGTGACATCTCAAAATTGTACAACTGCTAGTGTTTCTACTCATTGGTTCAGAAGATATTTTAAATATGCAATACCACTTCCAAGGATTTAAAGTGGAAGGGTAAATAAACTGCAGCCTCCATGCCAGTGATTCAGCGAGTACAGACTTGTTTTTGTGCAGACTCAAGTCCACTCTCGTCTATTTCATGTCTGCTCTCTTCAGCAGGACACTTTACTTACTAAAACAAGTCTAGACGTACATTTTGTCGTTGCGCTGGTCAGGCAACTCTCTCGCGCTGCGTTTCTCCCCTGACGCGCACGCGCTCACAGATGTCAAGTCTTCCAAAAAGTTGCAGTTTCACCACCCGAAAATTCAGCTACAAGTTAGCCTACAGCAGCCTCTGCTAAGAACTTTAATATTTAGAAATGTGATTATTTGCAGCAAATATTGGAAGCTTTGCCAATCACGGTCAAGTAAACCACATTCAATTTCATCTTCGAGAATTACCCGCCTTATAAAGTCATAAAGATAATCAGTCCGATAATGGGAGCAGCGCGAACAGCAGATTAACCTGCCAGGAAGTGTTCGGCCTGTTGGGTTTGGTCGTCGGTCTGTCAAGTACTGTTACTGGCTTATTCGAATGCACACCGGGCCAGCCAGCTGCTTACCTTAGTTAAAGGGTCTCCATCTTTACAAGCTGCGGCCGCTACCTCGTCTGACAAGCCGGTGTCGCCCATCTTTACAACCAAGACCTCAGTGCAGCCTTATGGGACTGACAGCGACAGGCAAATGAGAGCTATCCAACTGGAAGTTTGTACGAGAATAACTTCCGGTATAGGCTTTTTAAAATAAAAGACGCAGTAACCATGCTAATTTTTAAATGTCGAATTACACTTTCCTTCTAAAATATTTTATATATATACATAACTGAATTTAAAAATGGTTGTAAAATATGCGGAAAAATTATATAAAAAAACATTGCCCTTTAATATTGACTTAAAGACATTGATTGATAGATACAGCATTCTTAATCAGGGTGGAGTATTTGCCATGTATAGCCAGACTATTTGTTTTCATATTGTCTAAAACTGAAGGTAGGCTAATGCAAACAAAGCATTCAAACTGCACTTTTACATATCCAATAAGTCATAGAGAAGTTACTTAAGTGCACACCTGGTAACTTTGTTTTTGTGTAGCCCGGGTAATAAGCCATACAGTATTGTCCACATCAAAAGCCATCTCTGCCACTCAATACATAGCACAAATATTGTACATTTATTTAGATGTATTTTTCAAGATTCAGGACTCTTTTGTTTTCCCAAACCTTAGATTATCATAATCAGTTGTTCAATCTGTTTTGGTTTTCTAATACAATCATAGGTCCCATTAAGATGAACCCCAACTCAAACAGCACAGGCCAGTTTGCAGTGGAAATTGGTTTATTGTACTGACTGCAAAGATATTTTGTGGGATAAAAGTGGTAGGGAGCGACATCATTGACTTTGCACTATATTGGTATTTCACCATAGTTACACATTCTGTAGGCTTCAGAAGATCACAATGAGCCAACACGATGGAACTGGATAAACAGCAAAGCTGACACACCTGTGAGAATTACACACCCACCCCAAGTCTTAATACTCGCCAAGTTCCTGAGACAGTTCATCTGTGAGTGAGAGTTGGCAGGCTTTTCCTCTGATAGAAGTGGAGAGTAAAATTTCATTGCTACTTGCCATTTTTAGTGTTTTTCAGATTTCGAAAACCCCAAACCAAATAGACAGAGAAGTTATGACCAAAACTATGACATTGATTACAGTTTTATTCAAGAAAATACCTCAGAGAGAGCAACCATTCTGCCTGTTAGAAAGCCTGGGCTGTGCCCAGGACTGCCATTGTTTTAAAGGATTATAACCAAATTCTAAGAGTAAACAATTCCTGGACCCCTAATTTCCCTTCGATCATCTCACAACATGTAAAAAATAAAATAAAATAAACATACATATTTTAAATTTGAAACGCACAAGTCAGCCTCCTCACATAGGTTAGACGTGTTAAAGAATGTGGGGCAGCCCTTTTTCTAGCAGGAAGCCATTTTGAAAGAGCAGATGTTTAGTAGCTGCGTCCGAACAAAGTGTAGAACTGTGCAGGCTCCTTGCCGCTGACGCACATCTGACCTGGCTGAAGGGTTTTAATGGGAGAGAAGGGGATGCACAGGCTTTTAGCTCCCATTGACGGAGCTCCGGGCTCCAGGTCCTGGTCCCTGTTGAAAAAATAAATCACAATAATCAGTAAATGATCCAGCAGAAATCAACTAAAGTTCTTGTTATAAACACAGAATGTTTTAAATATGTCGGCCGTACTTGGCAGTGGTCTTCTTGATCCAGTCCTCACATTCAATTCCTCCACAGAAAGGAATCTGAACAATCTATGGAAAAAAACACAGATGTCACACACTAAGAAAAGAGACGTTTTTATTAGGTGTATGAAAATATCTGGTTTTAACTGTAAATAACGTTTTCCAAATCAGGGCATTCAATCAAGCATTAGATCACACTTTATCACAAAACTGCAGAGTCTGAATATCAAGAGGTTTACACAGAAATCAAGCACTTTCCGAAGCTTTAAAACGCCTAATGGAAATTCATGCATTTTCAAGGGATTTTAAAATGCTTGATTTTGTAACCTGAAAGGCTAGGGGGGAGGAAAGAAAAAAAGGAGTGGATAAATGGAAAGACAAATGGGAGGATGGATGGTGAATGGAAGAGCCAATGAATGGATAGACAGGAAGTAATATGTGGCAATGCACTTCTTAGAAAAAGCCTAAGTAGAACCCATTTAGTCCATGAGAGCTAAAGCAGAACCTGTGGTACGATCAGAGGGACTCACCTTGCCCTGGTCCAACTCTTTCTGGAACGCCTCCATCGTGTCTACAGCCACCATGTGGGACTTCAGGTCGTCTGAAGCTCTGACGGTCACATTAAAGACATTTTTATGAATATTGATCATCTTCTACTGTTGAAATATTTTACTCCTAGCAGGCAGTTATTCATTCTTTGAGCCCAGACTAACACAACAACACTGTGCCATCATGTTCAGGTGAAAGCTGGACGACGGTCATCCACACCGTGCTGCTTACTTCTTAAACAGGTTGTTCTGGATGTCCTCCAACATGCCCAGCAGTCTTTTCTCCACCTCAGCCTCTGGGATCGTCACCTTGGCGCCCGTGTCTCTCCTCACTGCGACACACTGCTTCTGCTGCATGTCTTTGGGCCCCACTTCCAGACGGATGGGGACTCCCTACATGAAACAAACAGGAAAAAATAAAAAAATAAACACCAGCGGAACGTAATTAGAAGTGGCTGACCTTGTAAAATATTCAACGACTTGATCCTTTACACTTTCCAGACTGAATACTTGATTTTATGTTTTCTTTCTTTTTTTTTAACCACCTTCAAGTTAAAATCTACACAGAAGGAAGGAAGACCTTTAGCTCCCAGTGGTTGAACTTCCATCCTGGAGAGTAGTTGTCTCGCGTGTCGCTCTTCACTCTGACGCCGGCGTCCAGCAGCCTGCTCAGGTATTTGGAGCACTGGGCCAACAGGGCCTCCTTGTCCTGCTCCGGCAGGGACGCAGTGATCCCACATGGAATGATGACAACCTGAAAACAGGAGAACATTTAGCATATTTTATTTTAGGAGTCTACAAAAAGTTGATGTCTCGAGTGCATTTTGTGTCTATGCGAGCAAAGGGGTGCGCTGATGGCAGTTTTCAGGTCGATTCAGATTTTTTTTGTTTGTTCTGATTTGTTTGAACAGTTGGTAAATATGTAGATGTCTTGAGTGCATTTTGTATCCGTGTGAGCGCACCTGCAAGCAGGCCACCCTGGGTGGAAGGACGAGTCCCATGTTGTCCCCGTGAACCATGGTGAGCACGCCGATGGTCCTGGTTGTGATGCCCCAGGAGTTCTGGAAGGCCAGCTGCTTCTCGCCCGGCTTCTTGGGGTCCTCAAAAGCAATCTCAAACATCTTGGAGAAGTTCTGACCCAGATGGTGGGATGTAGCACCCTGTGGAGATTAGAAAAATATTGATAAATACGATTCGCCGTGGGGAGTTGAAACGGTTTCCAGAATGCATAAATACGCTGTAGGACAGGAATGAGCCGTTTTTCTGGGAAATGCATTACCCACTCCTGATATTCCCCACTGTGTCCCTGTCAGCAGTCTATTTCCATCGTTATTTATTTCCCAGAGACATTCCCCAAGGCAACTGAGGGAATAAACAGCTTAAAATGTTGTCCTTATTCTCCTTGTTTCTGTCCTTCCCATCACCCAAAATGTGTCGTATTTATCAATATGATCTTATCCTGGGGTTTCGCAAAGCTTATTCAGCTGCCATAAAACTAAGAAAGTCATGTATTTGTAATCTGACGTTTCCTGGGAAATGTGTCATTTTATATTTGTATGAATAATTTTATATTTTAATTCTTAATGAGATGGCATGAAAAGGTCAGACAGACACCCTGGTGTGTTACCTGATGTTTGACTACATTTTTATTCTGTATTTCATGAATTTGGAGTTTTCTCTGTAATGTAAAGAGCGGTTTTGAAAGGTAGAAATCAAATAAGTGTATTATTAATATTATCACTACCTGAATGGCTCGGTGGCTGGCGGAGATGAACGCCTCCACTGTGGTGGTGTAATCTCCTCCAGCAAACTTCTCCTTCTCGGTCTTCCTCCCCTTCACCACTGGGATGGCCATCAGCTCTTCATACACCCTGGCATACAGATCCAGGATCTGCAAAACCTACACATGGACAACCAAAGACAAAACAAACAATCAACCAATCTCTACAGGATGGAGTGGTTAAGGAGGTGTGAAGATGTGGTACCTCCTCGGCTGCCTCCTCCTTTGTTGCAAACGCCGTGTGTCCCTCTTGCCACAGGAACTCTCGTGTCCTGAGGAAGGGCTGCGGGTGTTTGAACTCCCACCTCTGAAATTATGAGACACAATGGAGAGTTAAAAAAAAAAAAAAGCAAAGATCTATGCACTAATCAACTTGTACTTCTTATGTGAAGAAAGGTAATGCGAGGAGGGTGAATTTTATTTACTAACCACAACGTTACACCACTGGTTGAGTTTGATTGGCAGATCCCTGTGGGACTGGACCCATTTAGCGTAGGCAGGATACATCACTGATATGAAACAAAGGGAACATGGATCCAGTATCAACACATTAAAAACATGGAACTTTTTCAGAATCAGAAAGTTGTAGATATTTGCAAAATCAGAAAATAACTAATTAAAGGGGCATTATTATGTGTTTTCCAGGCACATACTGTCATTTTATAGCACAGTAAAATAAAAATGCTCCTCAGCTGCAAAACCTATACATGGACAACCAAAGTCCACGTAAAAGCAACACTCCAGGTAGGTTTTTGAATGGAAATGACAGATGTAAAGCACAAAAAAGTCAATTTCACATAAATCTGCCCCTTTAAGGATAAACTTATTTTTCAAACACTTGAATAACTGGTGGAAAAATATAACACACAATATATGACAGGACATAATTTAGAATGTTTGTGTGAAATGAACAAAAATAAAACATTTAGAAACGCCACTCGATTCTAGTTTGTATCTTATTACCAAGATTCATTGGCTCCATCTATTGAAATGTTGATCTATAGTTCAACATAATGCAATGCCTTTTCCAGTTCATCTCTCTGGCTTATATTTGTGTTTATATTCTTCACTTTCTTTCCGTTTTTACTTAAGTTGCATCTGTAATTCTGAATTTATTTAATTTAGAATAAGAAATGTAAATGTAAAAATCCGGAACAAGTCAAACAGAAGGTGGATGGACAGACCTGTCTCACTGGTGGGTCTGACAGCGATGGGCTCAGCCAGCTCGGTTTTTCCTGAACGGGTTACCCAGGCAACCTGACAACAACAAACCACAGTGATTACAGGCACATCAAGCATCATAACTGCTTTAAAGGGGCAATACAACAATCCTAATCCACGCTATATTAACCAATCATCTTCACAGAGTCCGTTTCAAGTAAGAATACTGGTTGTACTTCTGATCCGTTCCCTCGGTGTGCTGACTTACCTCGGGAGCGAAATCTGCAATGTGAGACTTTTCCTTCTCTAAGGCAGCTTGGGAGACAAACATGGGGAAGTAGCAGTTCTCTACGCCCAACTTCTTAATTTCCCTGTCAAAGAAGTCTTTAATTGCCTCCCAGATGGAGTAGGCCCACGGCCGCAGCACGTAGCAGCCGCTCACGTCGTAATACTCGATCATCTCCGCCTTGGTGATGACCTGAAAGGGCAACCAAAAAATATATATATTTTGGACTTTTATTCAAGCAGATTGAAAGTAATGTGGAGTGAGAATGACTCACCTGAGAGTACCAATCTGCAAGGTTCTCCTCTTTCTTGGCTTCCAGACCCAACCTGAGAGGGGAAAAAAAAGCTTTAAAAAAATTATACACAGTTCCTTCTGTCGATTATTTCATTTTTAAGGAATAGTTTATTTGTTAGATTAAAGGCTGTGATTATCAGGTTAAACACACACACACACACACACACTTTTACATGTGCATTAGATTAAGCAACCCCATGATGCACTTTTCAGTCCAGAAAACGATGCCACTCAAAGCAAGTTAGTCATCCGTAGCAAACTGACAAAATAAAACCAGTCTGTCAATTTTTAGTAGTTTTTGAGGAACAAATTGTTTTTTTTGCTTGTCACATCTTAAAACTTTTTTTTTATCCTAAAACCTTTACCACCCTCCACCATACTCTCTTGTTCATTAGATTTTATGCTAGGTTTCTTGAAAATATTTTTAAAGAATTTTTTAGATCACAAAAACTGCAAAGTTCTGTAGGAACTGAATTATTAGCATAGCATGGTAACACCAATTTAAAAATATTGCCTCTGTAATAATTTTGTCTTTAAATAATAGTGAAACCCACTGTGAAACAGAGTATTCTCTCACACAGTGTGACCTTGCCTCTGCTTGTAATATAAATAATGACAACTCATGATAAGAAAACTGGAGCTTTGGGTGCTGTTGACCATCGTAGTTCTTTAGGAGAAATTGGATCCGGCTGCAGGTTGGAACTTAAAAAAAGAAGGGAAATCAAAATCTGATTGGTGCGTCTGCACTGAGACAATCCAGAATTAGTAGCGCAGGAAGACAACAAAAGCCTGTAATCTGGAGGCTGACAGCAGACAGCAAGCAAGGACGATGCAGGTTTGGACTGAAACTGTTCTGACTCACCACCGACAGAAAATCCCTCCAGAGTGGCTGACTCACATCGGCGTGCACTTTTCTCAACAGATCCGTCTTGTGTCATCGTTTCCACACTGCTCTACAGCAGTGCTCTAAACCCGTCAGAGTCCATTCATACCAACACCACGCTCAGGACCGACAAAGTGACTCAGCATTCAGGCTTTTTATTGGCCGAGACCTTCCAACTTCACCACCACATAATTACAGACAGCCAGAAGAACAAGCAGCTTTGAACTAGCAGTGTGTGCCGACACGTCTGCCGCACATCCATCTCCCTAAACCACAATGATTTCTGTTGAAAACAGCACCAGTAGATATGAGAAGTAAAAAGAACATTTTGTTCCTCGTTTTCCTAAAAAGTAATATATTTAAACCAGAATGTAGCTAAACTCAGACCAAAGCTCTCCAGTGTGAAGTTCAGGTCTATCTCGAACGCGTTTTGAAAGCTGAAACAGAAGACGGCTGCTACAGCTTCGCCTTCCTCCAGTCGTGGCTGGCCTCTCACCGTGTCTGCTTCTTGGGGCCTTGGCCCTCTCCTCCACCCGCTCCGCCTCCTGACGACTCCTTTCCTTGACCTCCCTTGTCTCCTTTTCCCTTCTTCCCTCCTCCTCCCTGTTTCTCCGACTTGTTCTCCCTCTCCTTGCGGTTCTTGTCCTCTCCTCCAGTGGCTCCAGCAGCAGCCACCGGTTTGTAGTCCTCTCCGGTCAGAGACTTGTACTTTCCCTTCAGGTCCAGCAGAGTCTTCACGGCTTCATCCACCTGCTCCTAAAACGTGGCAGCAGCGTTACATTTTCTCATTTATTTTAATTTGACTGTGAAAATAACAGGTGGCTGTCTTACCTTAGAAGCCTTCTCAGCCTTCAGTTTCCTCACCAGCTCCCCCTGCTGGGCCACCAGTGCGTAGAGTTCCTGAGCCTGCGGTGGCGTGCTGGACTGGGCACCAGTCTGAGCCGGGCCGGCTGGGGCCTGTAGGCCCGGCTTGTACTCCTGTCCAGTCTGCTGCTTGTACTCTGCCTTCAGAGCCAGCAGCTGCTTCACAGCAGCGTCCACCTGGTCCTGACGAAACATCACAGGCTTACCAGGCTGTCCAAACTTCTTGCAACTTGGGTCAAAGTCGACTCAACATTTCTCGAGGGCCAAAAAAATTAAAGACTACATTTACAAGAAACTTTCATTTGAATCTTTGTCCTGAAATATTTAAACAAATAAAATATTTTCTTTGGAAGAAATTAATATGTAAATGATTGTAGATCCAAAAGTTAAACATTTTTTTGTGCAGTTTGGGATTAGTCTGTTCTCACGAAAAATCCCCCACATGATTCAGGTCCCTCTTTATTTTTATATAGTACTAAAAGATGAATACTTTGTGTTGTTTCTAATGTTTCTATGACAGGATTTTAATTTTGTGGGTCGCAGTTTTCGCCTGACTGGAAAATCGTTTCAATCTGCATCTACCAGATGTACTAAAAAAATTTAATAAATGGTTCATATTCTGTTAAAAGAAAAAAAGGCACCTACTAAGTACCTTTTGTTATCCAATTAATTGGATAATCCAAAAAAAACGCAGATTATCCCTTCACTGTATTGATGTTAAGTCAAGCAGAAAGGCCTGAGATTTTAAATGTTTTTTTAGCTACAGATGAATCCGTTGCTACAAATGATTAAGCATACACCAATGAAATGCTGCTATTGTATTTTATGCGATATAATTTTTATTTTATTTGTATCTTTTAATGCATTTCTAATATTCTGATAGACGTGAGAATTCTGCAGAATATCTCAGGGGTTTTTTTATCCAATTAATTGATTAATGGTCTTAATTAAGCATTAGTTGCAGCCCTAGACTCAGATAAAATAAGGCAAAAAAAAAAATAAAAAAAAAACTAAACATGCTGCAACTTTATATATGTGTTTCTCAACATTTTTAAAAGCATGCATCGTTTTCCTTCCCTTCTAGTTCCTCATCACTTCATCTTGGTCATTGCTTATCAAATAAAATCTTCACTGATTTAAGTTTGTGGATCCGACGTCAAAAAATGTAAAACAGTTCAAGCATTACTGTCGATTAAAGGAGGGTGAATCTTACTTTGGGGGCTTTTTCAGTCTTCAGCTTCCTGACCAGCTCTCCTTGTTCAGCTACCTTCCCATAGACGCCGGTGGCGGCGGCGGGAGAGGGGCTGGTGCTGTTCTGGGTCAGGGCAGCGGTCTTCTGGGCGGGGCTGGGGGCGGGACCTGCTCCTGGCTTGTAGTCCTGCCCTGTGGCCTGTTTGTACTCTTCTTTCAGGGCGAGCAGCTGCTTCACCGCTGCATCAATCTTGTCCTGCAGCAACGCCAACGAGCAAACTTCAGTTCCACATATTTCTCCGTCTCAAACTGAGTGCCTGGTTCAGGGACATTATTTGGAAACTGATCCTTCATGAGTTATTATCCATTACAATTGAGTTTCTGCAACCAATTCATATCAAATATTGTGATAAGGTACTTTATCAACAGGCATACATATGCACTGGAAGTAATTTACATATGTCGTCCAGCTAACTGGTGATAAATTTGCACTTAGATGCAAAAAGCTAGCTAGAAAGGCCATATCAGCTAGTTAGTGGCAGCTTTAACTGCCTCGAGTCACAGAACGCACTGAAGATGTTCGCACAGGACTCAAACCATCACCTGACAGCAAAGTCCTCCGAGAAAAAACTACTTACATGAGAATCTAAGATTAAATAGTCCTGTCACAACTAAAGTTAGGATCTGTCATTACCGTATTTAAGACCAACTTACATTTCCTTAATGACTTTAAGACACTTTAAGGATGCACCGACTCCCTGTGTTAAACATTTGTATCCATTGGAGCTGGGATTTTAAGATGAAGCAAAAACCTGAACATACTAAAAACAAAGCCGCTTCTCATGAGAAACTGTAATGATAGACATTTATTTTCTCATCCCATCTGAAAAGTTATAGGATCAACTTTTGACAGCATGAACACATGGATTGTTGATTCTGCCTGTAAAAAAGTTATGTTTGTTTTTGTTCCTATGGAAACGTCTCTTAAGCATGCTTTATCCATGTTATTTTGATACAGAATTCAGTACTGTCTCTCTGAATACCTTGGAGGCTTTTTCAGACTTCAGTTTCCTCACAACTTCCCCCTGAAGTGCGACACGCTCATACAGGCCAGTAGAAGAAGAGGAGGATGAAGAGGGGGAAGAAGAAGAGGAGGAGGAAGTCACAGTGGTGGTGGCAGAGGAAGTGGGTGCGCCTATCCCTGGTTTGTAATCCTGACCAGTGATCGCTTTGAACTCCGCCTTGAGAGCCAGGAGCTGCTTCACTGCAGCATCAATCTGGTCCTGGTACCATCAGTAAAGGGATTTAGAGTTATGGCTGTTCATGACTCAACTTCACTCTCATGCAAACGCGACAGAGAGATGAACGGAAGCAGAAGCAATGAGGAATGAGCAGAAAAAGATGAAACCGGTGACTGGACGGCTGAACATGCAACGAGGAAAACGTAGGACAAATCCGTCTGGATGGAATAAATGATCGGTGGTGGGAGCGGTGACCGACAGACAGATGATCGTGGATTAATAATTAACATTTCGTACCTTCGGTGCTTTCTCTGCTTTCAGTTTCCTCACCAGCTCCCCCTGTTGGGAAACACGGGTGTACGGACAGGCGGTGGCCTCTGATGCCGGCGCCGCTGGGGCAGATGCAGCGGGTGTGGCTGGAGCGGAGGTGGGCGGAGCCATGCCTGGCTTGTAGTCTACACCTGTCTGCTGTTTAAACTGAGCCTGCAACAGAGTTGGTTAAAAAGTTGAGATGTAGCCATTTTATCTGACTCCATCACTTCCAGTTCTTTCAGGGAAAGCAGGAATACCTTCAGAGAGAGGAGCTGCTGGACGGCCTTATCGACTTCCTCCTTGGAGGCTTTGGCAGCCTTTAGGTTGCGGACAGCTTCACCTTGAGCTACGACGCTTGAGAAAAGGTCAGTTGCTGAGGCTGAGGCGGAGGTCGGAGAAGGAGCAGAGACGGAGCTGGAAGGAGCTTTGGAAACCTTAGCAGGCTAAGAAACCAAGACAGAAAACAGGAAATTAATTCACCATACTTTTTTCAGAGAAATTATGAGGTTCTGTTTTTTGTATTTGTCCAAATTGGTCAGATGACATGTTTAAAAAAAAAAAAAAAAACCCTAGCAGAGAAATTAGATTTTTCTGAATTCAAGAAGCCTGATGAATGAATGAATTTAAAAAAAAAATCAGTTTTCTGATTTCAGAGCTTCTGAGTGTCGCCAGTGGCATGAAGTGGAAGTGGGGCTACGTTTTCATCACTGACCGATATGAACAACAATACACAACACTTGTTTGTACACGCCATTTTATCTATATTTATTCATGTACGTCTTTCTGCTTCACTTCTTACTCATTTTAAAATAATATTTCCATTGCTGTTGCACATCTGTTTTTCTGCAGATGTGCAGAAAAACAAAAAGTGAGAAGTCTAATTTTTTTAAATGTTTAATACACATGTACATGTTCAATATGCCTATTTCTAAGTATTTCTTGGTAGAATCTTGTACAGTATACCATAACTGTTGTTACAGTAATCTTGTTCTTTTTTTTATTTTTTTATTTCTTTAGACACTAAGAATTTTTTCTGTGAATTTTTAGGAGACGTTACAGCTGAATTTCCTCTTTGCGGGACAATAAAGGCTGTTTGTTCTTTTCTATTCTACAGTTTCATTTCACAACCTTCACCCAGAGTGACATCAAAGACATGTGAATGACATCTGTAAGCTTCAGCCTTTCCTGCTTATCCAGCCTTGCAAGAACTGGTTGGTCCAGCTTAAAGTTCCTGCTAGTGCCTGGCGATGTTTTTTTCTTCCCTACACATCACGCAGAGTTTAAATGAAAACCTGAAGATTCTTCTCCTAAAACACTCACTGTGTTGCTGGAGGCCTGGCTCTTGCTTTTGTCCTTTGACCCGGCCGTCGGCATCTCCTTGGTGTGTCCATCAGGGATGTAGAAGAGAACACAGGGACTCTCCTTGCAGCTGTTGGGACTTTAAACAGAAACACAGTCATCTCCCCAAAAGAAGAGCAGGATGTCGTAGCAGTGTGGCAAAGCGACTCGGTAACGATCCTTCACCTGATTGGCTCGTACGGCTGATCGCAGATGTAGAAGCCCCGCCTCTGGAGCTGGATGATGTCTCCTTTCTTCAGGCTCTTCAGACACGGATCTCCCAGCATCTTCTCCTCCAGCTGAGAGAGAGAGAGGCAGTCAAGAAGAGGAACTTGCAGAAACGTAAACAGAAACGGGGAACTCCATACAGTGCACACCCACCTTGCTGTTTTTGTTGATGTACTCTTTGAAGTCGTCGTCTTTGGTGATGACGGCTTTAGTGATGAGAGGCTGGTAGTTGACGCAGATGACGGGCAGCAGAGGGGCGCTGCTCGTTTCAGCCAGCCAGGTGATCTTAGTTGTCTTCTTGTAGTCCTTGTTGTCCAGGTCCAGGCGAGCCTCAATGGACGCCACTTTACTGTCCGGCGCTCTGAGTGACGGAAGAGGTGATGAGGACAAGGACACACAGCTTTCGTGTACGGATACGCGGGGTTAATGTGAACCAGCCGGACGTACTTGTTGATCTTCGTGATGATGAGGTTGCCCCAGTTGATGAAAGTGACTGTCTCTCCTTCTGTCAAAGTCTCGGCGTCGGCTCCTTCAATCAGAACGCGAGGTCCGTACCAAACTTCCTTCAAGCCGACCTCTTCGTTCTGTAGGAGGGTTAATATTGAGCTCGGTGAGGTTTGCTGTAAGTCAGTGAACGCTTTAAATAGTCAAGTACTGAACTGAAACTAAGTGGCTAAACGTCCTGTCCAAAAAGGTTAAAAAAAAAAACCCCTAAAAACTACAAATTAGGACTGGGCGATATGGACATAGGATTTTATCAGAGTATTTTGTGATACTGATAAATATGATTATAGAAACTATCTATTGCTTATTTTTTTAGGTAACTGCATGGTGCAGCAAGTACTGATCATGAAAAGTAGTTCCTTTTGAAATGCCACAAAGTGTGACTTATGTCACTCAACTGTACAAAGTAATTACATTTAATCATATTTTCAAATTCACTGATATTTGTTTATGCTCCCAATATATAGTAAAAATAAATAGTAAAAAAATACTGTCAGCTTTGTTTTTTGTTTTAGTTATTAATTAAAGTTTATTGACAACAATAAATCAAAATTCGTTTTATGACGAGACATTTTTCGCAATAATTATAAATGCCTTATACGACTACACATATCAAATAATATTCAAATCTGAATGCAGGTAAATAGGTGGCCACCCATTGCAGTTTTCTGACCGATCAATAATCTTTAAAAAACCAGACCAGCCAGTTCCAACCGATGCAGATTTTTTTGTATGTGTGAAATGTTGCCATATTTTACAACAACATTGCTAAGCAAGACTTTTGCTGATGTAGATAAGATTGGTTTTCATGTATATATTGGTCGATTGCTCATCCCCCAGGAAGATTAAGGACAATAAACCAACTAACCTTGGGATGCTTGGCCACCTCCTTCATCTCCTCCGTTGCCTCTGGGACTGAAACCGGAACCACATAGGAGCTGGACAGAGCTGTGAACCTGGGAGCTACAGGGTCAATAACCTGACATGGCAACACAGAGAAGAGATCCACGGGTCAGTGAGAGCCACATGAACATACTGACATTAAAAAATATCTGACAAACAAAAAGGGCAAAGAAGCAAATAGTGATTTGTAAAATAAACCCAAAGAAAGCCTGCCAAGCTCAGAAAGAAACATATGCAGAGTGTGAGCAACAAAACAGAAAAATAAAGAAAAACTGATTTCATGAGTGGATCATGTTCACCTAAGGGTGAGCTCAAATTTTCCAATTTAGCCAGCTTGTTTACACAAACAGCCAACAATCTAGCTGTAACAATGTGTCAGACACACCACGCGACAAAGAAGCTGAAGCGATCTTAATGAAAAAGACGCTAAAGAAGCAGAATCAGAGTATCACAACTGATTCTTCAACTCTGGTGTTTAAGATTTGACCTACCGAGACCAATTTTAGCCAGTTTCGGCTATTATAGTTTAAGTAATCTTTTATTCAAACTTTTAAGTAAAGAAAACATCATTTAAAGTTGAAAAGTTAATTGCCCTTAGAATCTTGTATTAGCAATTATTAGCAATTAGCACAGTTAGTAATTAGATCTGTTAGCAAATGGCGCAGTTAGCATTTCTAAACCCTTCACTCCATTCAGCCTCCTTTGTAACTCCTGAAGGCTCACTCTCTGTTGTCAAAACAAAGATGGCTATCTCGAAATCTTCAGTCAGTAACAACTTCCACACTGAAGAGGTTCATTGTCAATATAATTTAGGACCATTAGGCTGTAGTGTTTTTTCTCCCCACAGGTCAGGGTCAATCAAAGCAGAAAAATCAATCAAAGACGCCGGCTGTTTTCAGAAAGGACAAACTTCAAACAGGCCATTAAATGAATGTTTCCTCTACATTATCCAACAAAATCATTTAAAAAGTTCTAACTATTTTTTTGCCATTTTCTGTCATAATAAAAAGCTAAAGTATTTCATATCTCAACATTGTTCGTACCTTCATTTCCTTGTAATTTTAATAAATAGCTCAAATATGAGTAATCAGGATCTTAGAATGTAGTAAAATGTGCTTTGCTGCATGATAAATATGTCAAAGGTTGTTTCCAAACATCTGAGAACAAAGGGTGAAAGATGAACAATGGATGGGGAGAACGACAAAGGGATGAATGGGTTGGGAGGCCATTTAGTTTAACTGAGACAAACAATAAACCTGTAAATACTGTTACTATTAATCTCTAGGAGGAGCTCATAACATGGATCTATCGTTTTGCTTGTCGATGCTCCTAAGCGTTGGTTTGGCTGGTGAACGACTGCAGCGCATGACAGAAGCAGGGTGGGTCAGAATGAGGAAGAGGAGGAGGA